CAACTCTAACTTACGTTTCATCCTGTCATATAATTCTAATTCTAAAAGCTATTCCAAACACAATATAAGCAATAACTTTCAAATATGATCAATGAATACAATAATGGGCTTTTAATGAAATCAGATTATATGACTTTTATTTCAAGAACATCATTGTGTAAATGTATCACTTTTCTTATTTGAAGACTGCGGGAATTGCTACATAGACCAATTTTTATCTTTTGATCCTGCACCTTTATTTCGAATTCTTTTTAAAAAAATGAATTTAAGCAAAAAATGATTTATTGGTATATTCCTTTAACCCTTTAAGCAACAAAATAAATGATTAAACATTAAAAAAGGACCAACACAAAATTTACCATATTAATCCTATGGGGTGAAAATATTTGTCACTATGTCACAGAAATACATTCAGGAGATATCAAATCAAAGTTCTATTGTTAATGTGTAAATTAAAAAAAAAAAACTGTCAGAGTTGTCGAATTTCCTTACCTTCTCTTAACATTAAGGATTGAAGAATAAAACTGATAATGAGAACACCTGTCACGGACTTACCTTTCAGTAGTTAGACATCCATCTCTTCTCAAGGAATAAGAACTTAACATTTCTAGCCACAGGTCATTTTCATCAGAAGTTAAATAATTTTGAAACCTAAAATTTTAAAAATTGCCTTTTGTTTACATTTTTTTATAATTCATTAAAATTTAAAAAGACTTTACTTGCCTGATAAGAGTGACCATTGGCTTGAAAGACAATCCTGTTGGCCATTGGCCAATCATATTAAAGACAAGTCATTTTGAAAATCAGTGTTAGCCATAAGAAGAGATAATTGAATTGAAAAGTCAAGATCAACCATCAACAGCAGAGTTAATGAAATAAGAACATTTGGTATCTGTGTAAAAATTGTATCCAATGGGAGGAGATTGACAAAGTTCATGCAAGGGACAAAGGAGGCAAGCACTCTACATGCGAGGAAGGTGTCATAATATGACGTAATAGAGAACCAAACTGAAATAACTGAAGATATAATTTCACATGGTTAAGTTTCATTGTTGTTCGACCAGAATTTCACAAAAGTTAAGTTTTCAAAATTTATGAAATCCAGGGTTGTGGTAGAATGCTTCATTTTAAAGAATTTCAGAATAATTTAAATGATTAATAATCTTTTGGTTATTTTTTATTTAATCTCAATGGATAAATAAATCTTAGATACACATGTAAGGGATTTTATTGGTCAACTTACAGGCTTTTATTAAACAGTTTGAAAGTTATTGTTTGGACCTCCCACTAACCTTCATCAGAGTCCTCAGCATCGAATAGATTGTCACCATCATCATCGGCATCATCACTCTCCCCTTCATCATAGCCATCTTAGCAAAATGTACACAAACTACAAATTTAGGAGCAGGCAGGTAGAAAGAGATAGAGGCAAACAGGCAGCTTGGCTTAGCGTCAATCATGTATAGATTACAGTGCAGACTAACAAATTTATGCACTAGTCTCACTTTATAGAGAGGCTCAGTAAAAAAAAAACTTCATGATGAAAAGTTGCACGATAAGATGTACGAAATGAAGTTTTTTCCCTAAATTGGGTCATTGTTTTTTTTTTTTAAACCTAATTAAGCAATGAATTTAAAAAAAAAAATTAATTTTAAAATATTCTACACTAAAAGATGTCTATTTTAATTAAACATTTTGAAAAATGTTAATGTTGTACCCACCCTTCCATATTATAGTTTAGATACTGAGTCCAATAGTTTCTGTTTACAACTATAATAAATTTATTTTAAAATATAACAGATATAACAGGATTGCTTTCAAATCTAATAGTAGTAGTTTCAATGGGGTCACCAAGAAAAATGAAAGCAGCATTTGGCCTCACATTAAACAAAACAACCCCCTAAACACCAAAGTCTTTATCCAAGAACTTGACATTTCAATTGAAACAAATCTAGTTTATAGATATGTATAGTTTTTCTTTCTTTCAGTTTTGGTAAGCGAACAACTTTTCATCAGGAGGAAAAAAAAGAGAAGAGCATAACAAATCTAGAGAGAAGAAATTGGCAAGTCATAATGCTAAAGCATTGAATAGAGAACTATGAGAGAAGATATGACAATGTTTCTGACCATTCAGCTATAAACTTAATACCATACCCCATGGTGCATTAACTAACTTTACCCAACTAGCCGAAAACAGAGAGACAAACTAACTAGAGAACGTATGACTCAGATATACAACTTTATTTATGCCATGCTGCAATGATTTAATTAAACTAGAATTCAAACATAGTTTGTTAAAATAACCTGATTCTATTTTAACATATTTCAAAATGGTAACGTACATGTATTTACTGAATATTACACTTGACATAAATTAGTCTTTTTGATTAGTTAGTCAACATTCAATTATGTGTGTTTTTGTTCATTTCAATGCCACTATGTTTCACAAGCTATATGCATGAATTAGCTCTGCCCAGATCATCCTACTATAATTATGTCATGTTGTGGTAGCGTCAACAGATCTACAGTTGGTTAAAGGGCTTGTTATTGGCAGGTGACTGAAGCATAGAAAGACAACTGGGTACTTGATCACCATTGTTATGACAGTCCAGTTAGAAATCTCAACACTGCGACATGTACGTATTACTGGATTTTTCTTAAAGGCTTTGGGTAGAAGCAACAAGTTCAGTAAACTGATGGATAATTTCATTTAAATAGGCGATTAGCGTTGTTAAATAGTTTTATGAGGTCAAACCTACTGGTCAGAATAAAGAACACTTGTTACATCTAAAATAGTGGCATATTGTGAGATTTATCTTGGCTCTAAAATAAAAGAATATGACATTCTATCCTCAAAAATTAGCGTTAACATTTTTTAAATCAAAGCTTAAGCAGGATGCAGAAAAATGGTATAAATCAGCGGTTCTCAACCTGTGGGTCACGACCCCTTTGGGGGTAGAACGACACTTTTGCAGGGTACACCTAGGACCAATGAAAAACACATATGCCCTACAGTTATGAATGAAGTTGCAACAAAAATAATTTTTTGGTTGGGGCCATAACATGAGGAAATATATGAAAGGGTCGCGGCATTAGAAAGGTTGAGAACCACTGGTATAAATATTCTTTTAGACTAACTATCTACTGGTTTAGACTATAAACATTAAACATGTCTAGCCATCTTCTTGCCGCAGCTGAAGCAAATTTACTATGAAAACAAAGGCACAAAACAAACTATTCAAGAACACATAGGGGATGTAGCCAAGAAAAGGAAATAGCTAAGCTTCCGTGAGGATTTTAAGAGCAAAATAATTCTCTTTGAGCCAATTGGAACAAGGCCGCACGACAGCTGAATCTATGCCATACAGAAATATAATGGGGGAAAGGGACTTGCTTTGATTTGAACTGGTTTGCTGGTGGTTCCTCTACATCTTTTCTTGGAAACAGGTTAAACAGATTCCAATTGAACTCTTTAAATTCATATGACATGACGCTTAGACTGACATCCCCCAGTGTATTGCTCTCAAGGTGCAACAAGCAAATGGTGGAAAATAAACGCTATCTTCTGACGTAGGCTTTAGCTTGATTATGTTTATGTTAACTTGGGTCTGGTTCAGGAGTACAATCTCAAACATTAATTGAGGTTCTCAAGTTGTACGGTTCACTAATCCATCTATCGTTGTGAGTTTTAATTTTCACATAAATATGATATGATAATGTAATATACAACATTTCAGGTCATTTATTTTTTTTTTTTAATCAGCTTGGTACACTAATGTAATTGAGGTCTTGGGTCCAATCCAATCAATATTCCACACTTGCATGAAATCTTTGAAAATGAACCTGCCACCTGAGGTAGCCTATATGTTGACACAGAGAACCAACCTGTCCCCTGAGGTAGCCTATATTTCAACACAGAGAACCAACCTGCCACCTGAGGTAGCCTATATGTTGACACAGAGAACCAACCTGTACCCTGAGGTAGCCTATATGTCGACACAGAGAACCAACCTGCCACCTGAGGTAGCCTTTATGTTGACACAGAGAACCAACCTGCCACCTGAGGTAGCCTATATGTCGACAAAGAGAACCAACCTGCCACCTGAGGTAGCCTATATGTTGACACAGAGAACCAACCTGCCACCTGAGGTAGCCTTTATGTTGACACAGAGAACCAACCTGCCACCTGAGGTAGCCTATATGTCGACACAGAGAACCAACCTGCCACCTGAGGTAGCCTATATGTTGACACAGAGAACCAACCTGCCACCTGAAGTAGCCTATGTGTTGACACAGAGATGAGTGAATGAAACAAAACTAACAAGTTCATGTTATATTTATAAATTCACTTCATATTCAACATGTCTTATATTTAATATAAATAGAAACTTGTTTAAAAACCTACACAGTCTTGCGGAGAATCTGCACTTGCCTAAAACTAGCATTTCTTAAACCATAATAATTTTTTTTTTCTTTCTTGGTTCATTTATTTTCTTCCAATGAAATCAGCCGGACCAAACCTTAAATTCAACATAAGATGTTTGTTTCCAAGTGGTCCGACTCATGGAATAAGACCATCAAGAGGACTCACTGCCACGGTACAAATCACTATATTTTAATAAGACTTCTATTATGTAGGTTACATGAAATGAATGAGTTCTCTAACAGAGATTTAGCCATGCAACAGAGAGTGCAGTCAACACCCAAAGCAAGCCATGCACCAATAGAAAGAGCCTGTACCAAACCCAAAGTAAGCCATGCACCAATACAAAGAGCCTGTACCGTACCCAAAGCAAGCCATGCAACAATACAAAGAGCCTGTACCGTACCTTCTTCCAGCTCTTCAAGTATGGTGGTGGGTTGTTTCACATACGGCTTCCCACCTTTAGTTTTTTGATTCCTTGGTTTGGAACCGGAATCCTCTTCTGTGTCAGCATCCACTTTGGGTTGTTTCCCCTTTCTTAAGTTTCTAACTCCCTTGTTTTGTTTACCCACTCTACCTTTGTCATCCTCATCCACCACTATGGATGGGGCCACAGCTTTCTGGGGTTCCTCGACCGGTTTTTTCACTTCTTCTGGTATCTTAGGCTCTGTTTTTTTTTCTTCTGGCTTTTTGGGTTCCTCGACTTTTTTGGGTTCGACTTTTTTGGGTTCCTCGACTTTTTTGGGTTTCTCGACTTTTTTGGGTTCCTCGACTTTTTTGGGTGGCTCCACTTTTTTCGGCTCCTCAACTTTTTTGGGTGGCTCCACTTTTTTCGGCTCCTCAACTTTTTTAGGTTCTTCAATTTTTTTAGGTTCCGGCTTTTTCTCCTCTGGTTTTTTAGGGGGTGCAGCTTCCTCTTTAGGCTTGGCTTTCTGTACCTCCATAATTTCTTCTACAGGTGCTACACATGTCAAGAATTGAGGGTCGGGAGTGAGAAAAATGATAGAGAAGAAGAGAATACACATTTTTGACTACTCATCCCTATTTGAATACCTAAAGAAGAGAGTTCATATGAACATACACAAAAAATTTCAACTCTGCACTAAAACATTCTCAAGGTCCAAATGACTAGACTGCAATGGGGCATGCTCAAAACAAGCTTAAAGACAACAGCTGTCTCCAGGTAACCTCTCTAGCTCAATGAAATCAACCAACAAACACTGTTCAAAACAGCCATACTTTCCAGACATCAATGTCCTACAGTAATGCTCTGGGCTGTGGTCAAGAATGAAAATACTAACTAAGAAGTGCAAAGATGGGACATAGCTTCCCGATTCATTGAATGGAATTCTTGCAGCACATCATGCAACTTCAGCCTTCAAAAGCAAACAATCTAGTTCTTAAACGTTTACATAATTTGATGGTATAATGTGTGGGGTTTTTCATTTCCTTTAACTTATGTTTATTATTCTTCAAATAATTTTGTTTCTTAAAACTGAAATAAAAATTTTCCTATAATATATTTATTCCTTACTTTTGAAGAGAATCATTTTCTTTTATCAAACTAAAAGGTGCATGTTGATTTTGTGTGTGACAAAAAGCCAGAAGTTGTTCATTAAATTTCACAAACATTTACAGAAAATAGGATACAATTAAGGAGGACTGATACTCACAACATTTTTTTTAAATACAATTAACCAGTGAATTATTTGCATATTTCATTGTGTTGCATAGGTGGAAAACAGTCGAGATGCACTGGTAAAATCACCACCACGTAAACCATACTGAAACAAATGCTAGCTTTCACTCAAGGGAATAACAATGCTTTCACTAACTCACTATACCAGACATTTCTAGGCAAAGTTCATGAAAGCTCAGACCAAAATACACAAACAATGGGGCACAAAAAGACTTACGTGTTTCTTGTTTCTGAAAGAAACCAGGATGAGATATAGTGTTTAAATAATACTACTAACATTTTCGGTATTTTGTTTCAAACCATTTAAAATCAGCTAACTGACATTTTTGATAATCCTCATTGTCAACTGCATGTACGCATTGGTAAATAATTAATTTTCATCTTAATCAATAACATAAAATACAATTTAGAATTAAATTTTTTTTTTTAAATCAAACATTTTAAAATGTGGAACATACTGCTTTGGACTGAGTTCGAATCTCCATTTTTGATTCCTCAATCTGTTGCGATTTAATTTCAGTCTTGCCTGCATCCTTGGACTTGTTCTGGTCATTCTGTAGTTTCTCTTCTGGCAGTTCTGAAGTGATTCATTATTATGAAGTGTTAAATATTTGTCAAACAGGTAAAGATTAGCTGATGACTACTTTTCAAAGGGAATATTTGAGCAATAACAATGTCATTATTCATTTATAAATCATGAACCATTATAGCATGATCACATACATCATACAAATAAGACTTAGATTCAGCTTGAACACATTGCCTCAGAACTAGGTTTAGGAATCTTTTGCATCAATGCAAAAAATATCTAAAAACATAAAAAAATTGAGGATGATGATGCAGCAACTCTATGTTGAAATTGATGAGAATCAAAATATTGATAGTTTTAAGAATTTTAAGATATTTAACTGGCACCTGTAAGGTAATTTATGTCTTACTTTCAATTTGACTAAAATTGTGCCAGGTTTGGTAAATTTAAAAAAAAATTGAATTGCTTTTGATTTGACTATTGAATTTGAGATATCCTGTTCCTATTTGAGTTATTCTCTCTTGTTGAGAAAAAATTGATTTAAAAATGTGGTTACAATGAATAAAGCAAATATATTTTATAGAAAGGAGGGCACAACAGAAGTTTTGGAGGGAGAGTCTTGAATAGTTACTGGCAAGAGGACCCAGAGCAGTCCACAACAAATTGTGATTTCAAAGTAATCGGCATTGTTACCAATTCTGAGTCGATTAACTAAAACAGATTTGAGACTCAATTCATTCTTTGACAATGAACATAGTTAATGACAGTCACACAAACTTCTGTCTGGTAAATGTTGGACTAGGCCCTCACTTAACCTAATGAAACTCTTTATTCTGTTCTCCATGCTAACGATCTGTAATGACTATCTTTGTTCACTGACCTTTAACCTGCAAGCTGGCAGATGATGTTGCTGATCCCCACTGGTTTTTAATCTCAATGGAGTAAACTCCTGAATCTTCAGGGAACACCTCTGAGATGTTCAGCTTCGCTGTACCTTTGTCGTAGGAAATGCCAAAAATGTCCCCACTCTTGAGGGGCTTTTTATCCTTGGCCCACAAGACCTCTATGGGCTCTGTACCAGAAACTTTGGCTACAAACTCGACTTTGTCTCCATCATTGACATTCTGTACAAGACAAAAGAGATATAAGAATATTTATTTACTTAAAGTGAAACGTTTCTTAATTTAACTTGAACACAGATTATGCCATTAATATAATATAGGAACTCAACATGAAAGAGGCTCACATCAAAACATGTTCATAATTTTTTTTTTGAAGTAAATTATTTTATAGCAGTTAACAACCTCAAATGGAAACGTATAAAGTCTATAACAAAGCCACTGTATTCCTTATGATTTTGGGGTTTAAGAAAAAAGTTGATCAAACTCAATGAATTTTTGGGAAAAAAAGGTAACCACGTGGTTGTAACTTTTAAGGGAAAATGTTCAGTTGTTATTGAAACTGTTCCAGCACATTTTCTACAAATGATCAATCACAAGTGTTTGATACAATACTGTCTACTGTTCAAATTGAATATATGATGATTTGAAAGAACTAACTAGCATTTCTATTTACTGTAAAAAACAAAACAAAAACAAGAAAGTGAAAATTCTTAAACCAACCTTTGGTGCAAGTTGCTGGATAAACTTAGGTGCTTCTCCCTTGACTTTGGGCTTCAACGCTGCATTTTTAAAAGTTACAAAGATAATCACGAGCTCAAATCATGCATATGCGGTCATGATTATTTAATACTGTACTTATGATATTTTATGATTATGGCTGATTACTATGCCAACAATAAGAAACAATTATGCAAAGTAGTAACATTAATATAACATTCTGTGGAGTTGTACCTGAAACATTGACTGTTGCAGTGGATGTGGCTTCACCTCCGTTTGTTTTAACGACCAGCTTGTAGGTGCCAGAATCCTTTTCACTGAACTGTTCCAGAATAATGAAAATTTAAAAAATCTTATGTCATTTGCAAAGACATATTTTCATTTCAGTTTATGGACACAGAAAGAAGTCATAGTGAGTGCGCTCTTTTGAAGCTATTGCGCCTAAATTATGGAATAGTTTGCATCAATTTTTGAGGGACATTGAAAATGATAAAAAAAATCATTCAAGAACCATTTAAAGGCTTTTTTGGTTCAAAAGATTTTAGTCAATCAGAGCGTTGTGAGCAAGCTAAAATAGCATGGGCACAAGCGCTATAAAAAATTTCAATCATCATCATCATATATTTATAATGTTATTGTTCATTGAAAACAATAAATAGCAATATACAGTAAGATGTTGATGATCCAGATTAATTGTTTTTTTACCCCTATCGTGATTATTGACTTATCTAGATTTTCAAATCCCATCGTGTAACTTAGTATCTTCTGTACAGTAAAATAAATATAAAAATATCAGTTTAGCTTACAATAAGTATTTTACTGGAAAACGACAAAGAAAAAGAAGAAGAAAGATGACACAAGTCAAAAGCTACAAAATCTGACTATAGCCTTTCCAATCACATTTGATATTGTACATGTTGTTGTTATGGAAAAATGTCTTACTGTCACTAAAAAATTACATTTTGATTTTCACAAATATATTTTTTTCTGATCAGGACATCCGAATTTTTGACATTTGGATTATCACAGTCTTATTGTATTTATGCTAATTAAATACAAGAATCACAAGGAACAACAATATAAAATTACAAATTAACAAAACAACAAAGATTCTTAACATTTTTCCAGAAAGGGTGTTTCTTAAAAAGCCCATTTCGGTTCAAGTTTCTACCTGTAATTTCATTGCAAAAATATTCAATACTGTTCACATGAAATAGCCACCCAATCAGTTGAAAGACTCACATTTGTGATCTGCAATGTAGGGTAGTAGATTCCTTTCTCTTGTGGAAGTTCTATCCTGTACCTGCCATCAGCTTTCAGAGGTTGGTTGCCATAATACCACGTGACCTGGGGTGGTACTGAGGACTGGACACCCTGTTCTATGATGATCATTTGGTTGGGCTCATCAAGTCGAATGTTTGGCTTACCTTGTAGGACAGGTGGGGGCTCTTTTGGTCTACAGATAAAAGAACTTTTATTAAATACAATTGGTACTTAATAATTCATTTCAGAATGTCAACTTCATGTCAAAAAAATATACAAATGCGGCAGACTATCTTGACTTGGTCAGTCTAAAAATCCTTATAAAATGACACATTTAACCAATCCTGTTTGTTATAATAACATTTAAATTTCCTTCCAATCATTAAAATGTACAGTTATAAAGCAACTCATCTGTTCATAAATCTATATTTTTACTTACGGTTCCAGATTGATTGTGATATTAGCATTTCCTTCTCCAACATCATTTTTGGCTGTTACTTTATACTGACCACCATCATCTTTTGTAAAATTCTGTAATTTTACACAGCCAAATGTTATTTCTGGTGGTGCTTCTTATATGAGCAAAATATGTTATTTCTGGTGGTGCTTCTTATATGAGCATAAAATAAATAATCTTAATTGGCGTGCATTGTTTGAGCTGAAAACCCCTACCAAAGCTCTTAATGTCTAATAAGAAATGGTGTCAAACTTACAATAATTTCTAGCTTCAAGGTATACTCATCACCATTTTCTACAATGGTGGGTACAACCCTGGCACTGGCAGTGAGGACAGATGTCCCTTTGTACCAAGTTATGACAGGCTTGGGGTTAGCTGTGCACTGACATTCAATGACAATATTCTTGCCACTGGGGTCCTGAGCAACTTTGGGTTTTTCCTTGAAAGTAGGAGCAATACCTCCTGGTGGTTTCCCAGGTTTCTCTCCTCCTGAAACAGACGAAATGTACAATAGAGCAGTGGTTCCCAAAATTTGTTACATGCAGAACCCTTTTTAGAATCAATTTCAATGGGGAGCCCCTGAGGCATACCCTGTGTCTTACAAGTTCATTGTGTTTAGGAGTAGTGTTATGGGTGTGGGGGGGGGGGGGAGCTGAAACGGAGCCCATGAGAAGAGAACAAGGGGCACCTTTTGGGAGCCACTAGTACAAAGAAAGTCAGTATACTTTAGCAACTGCAAATCGGCCTTTGCAAAAGTTTAATTTCTTTGTACTTGTATGTGGCTTATTAAATATATAATTTTATATAAGTTAATTACCGTATTTATTGGTGTATAACACGCCCCCGCGTATAACATGCACCTCAATTTAAGAAGGAAATTTCAGGGAAAAAAACTTAACATTATATCGACGTATAACACGCATACATGATTTGCCCCTTATTTTCGGGGAGAAAAAGTGCGTGTTATACACCAATAAATACGGTATATAAAACAGAACAATAAACAATTATAAATAAATCTTAATTTTTATTAGGCTTAAATATAATTATCTACTTTTGTGCATAGGAATTTTAATATAAATTTACATTTAATCTTTTTTATTATATGATTTGTCCTCTATCATTATTTATGTCATATCGATTCTAATTTTTTGAGAATACCATAAATACACTCTGTCCCCACTTGTTATAAATATGGCATAAATCTTTAAAATAATAGATGAATTATCGAAATCTGATTAAATTTAAGATTTTTACAATTTAATGTGTACCAAAATGTCAGACAAATGCAGCCAACTGAAATAATTATGGAGCTGCATTTTTAGGAAAAAAATCCTTTGTTTAACAAATCTCTTGCAAAAAAAACCTACCTAGAGAATCATTGCTTTATCAGTTTTCAGCTCTTAAAGAAAATATCCAACCATAGTTGAATAATTTAGCATTTTCTTATGTTTAGAATGATTCACTTGAAATAGTTACCTTGAAAGTTAAGAGTAATGTTGGCATTAGATTCTCCCAAGTCATTGGCTGCTGTACATTTGTATGTACCTGCATCTTCTGTGGCTGGGTCCTGTCATAAAAATTTATTTCAGGATTTTAAGAAATTGTGGAAATATTCATGAATAATAACCTTGAAATGTGCAACCCTCTTTTATTTTATTATTTTTTTTTTTTACATTATTTAAATTCCAGAGATGAACATTTGGTTGTTATCAACTTGGTCTGTTACAGATGTTAACACCCGGTCGTTATTAACATGGTCTATTCCAGGTAAAATAATAAAATCTATTCATCTGTGTGTCTTTTTATTTGGAGAAAATGTGGATTCTTTGAACTAATTAATAATAGTTTATCCTTCTATATAAAAAAAACACAAGCCAGCCGAGAGTAATTATTAAAAATCACATGACTCATGACGCAATTTATAAACACTTCAATTCGTTCCACAATCCAAAAATATTCATTTAAAACTGATTAATAAAAATGCATTTTTATTATCTTCATTTAATATAAAATATTCAAATATATTTATTAAATGCAATTGTGGTTGTTGTAAGGGAGATTGTGTTAGAAGAGAGTGGAGAGGAGAAAGGTTACTATGTAAAACTAACTCCACTGTCACTAAGACAATCACAGTTATATGTTGGCTCACTGGAATCTGTTTCTATTTGTGCAACTTTAACAAGGAGCGTAACCAATGACTCTTGTTTTACCCCCATTTGATGATTTCACAGAAATCGACATTGCATTTTCATTAAACAGATTTATGGCCGGCACTGCTACAGGCTACAGCCTAGCAAACAGTTCCTGGATCTTGACAACACAAGTGAGGTGGGCCAACTGTGACCTAGCGTGGGCTACAGCCTAGCAAACAGTTCCTGGATCTTGACAACACAAGTGAGGTGGGCCAACTGTGACCTAGCGTGGGAGACTATTGACCATTGGCTCAGTTGTGATCATGTGACACTCAGCAGTAAAAGCACTACTGGTGTAGCAAGATATGGCCAATTAAGCAAGTCTAAATTTATTTAAATTTTTTTAATCGTCTCGTGAAATATTAAAAAAAACAAGTTATTCCCAATCCAAGCTTTTACTGCATTAAATTATTAAATGTTGCATTGACCTTGATCTGAAGCACAACAGTGTAGAGATCTGCGCCGCTTGCATCTCGCTGCAAGGTGATTGAGTAGCGGCCGCCATCTCCTATCTCTGTCGTGTCTCTAAACCACCTGATCTGCGGTGTGGGCTTAGCTTCCAGCAGACAGGTCATGAGCAGGAGGTTCTGTTGCTGTTTGATGGTGGGCTTTTGAGTGAAGTGAGGGGCTTTACCATCCTGACCTCTGCATAGGTTTAATAAAGTCATTTTAGTTATTATATCATGGTATAATGATTACGGACAGGGCTGAAATCTATAACATAGGCATCCAGCTGAAGTCTAGGGGTCATATGAATGCGCTACCATTTATTATTTAATATTTTTAGAATTTATTATTTTCTTTTAAATAAGTCTATTTTCAGCTGTCATTTTATAATAACAAAACTGAAACTGACGTTGAAAATGTGTTAATAATGCAGCTATTACTTTTTTTGATGGGTAACAAATAAATGTACCAAGATTTGTTATTTTGAAAGTATAATTATTACGAAACAATAAGAAAAAAAAGTTTCTTTTTTTCTAAAAAAAATGAGATCTTATCTTAATACATAAAATTAACAGTAATGGAAAACACAAAGAAAATATACTTACTGTGGTTTTTTACTGCCTAGATTATGGTACAGATAGCAGCAATGGAAAAAGATGAAAAGTGTTCATAAAAAATATGTTTGTGGCATCAACAAACTTGGGCTACTGATAGACTTTTTATTTTATAAATTTGAATTACTAATTTTAAGAGTTTGACAAATATTGTGGCTTGGATTAGAAGAAAATATTACTTTTAGGATCTAAACATTTCTGTATGCTTACTTATAAATTATTGTCATTCAACAATTTCTAAAATTAATCTTTATTGACCTTATAACTCAAGGGTCATGAATAAATTATTTTTTCTCAAACGTTTACTTGCAATAAGAACTTTGGTACTGTATTTCATTTTTTTCAAAAATAAATTTATTTTAAACAAAGGTTTTGATTAAACAATGATTGCACAAATTATAAATTCCAATAAACCATGCAGAACACAATGACTTGATTAACTTTGAAGTTAACTCTCTAACTACAAGCAAAGACCAACACAGTGGCGACCAACAACAGCAAATTAAAAACAAGAATTATATGATAAGGTGAATTCAGTGAATATATATATTCATTTTAAAAATACATTTGTGGAATAGCATTTCCATCCCATAGGGTTTCCACTGGCGTTTTTTCTGGATCATATTAATAATATATAGATTATTTAATTTAAAGTTTGTATGAAAGGGGCATAATCAGCTCTCACCTTCAAAATTAAGAGTTATGGTTGCTGTTGCTTCACCCAGTGCATTTCTGGCTAAAGCCCGATACTCTCCACTGTCTTGCAATGTCACCTGTGTTATCTCAAGGCTAATAAAATGAACTTGACCATCAGATTTCAAATTCTGGATTATGCGCCCAGACTGCTGTAAGGGGACATTATTCTGGGACCAGACAATTGTGGGCTCTGGCGCAGCTGTCAGCTGACATTCAATGATTATAGATTTGCCAGACTGACGTATGGTCGGCTTCTGAACAAACTGCGGCCTTGAGCCTTGTGGGTTTTCTTGTTGTGAGATCATTGAGCCTAAAGTAATAGTGTGTTAATGTGCAACACAGAAACAACTAAAAAATGTGCATAACAGTGACACTAGCAAAAATGAAATTCTTTTGTGTACAAAAAAAATAAATAAAAGAGTTGAAAAAATATCTTCTAGACTAATCATATTTTTTCAGAAATTAGAAAAGTTTTAAAAAAAAGTGAAGCCCACAGACACATGAGATAAAATTTTAGAACTTCTAATTTATGGTTCTCAACTTATTGAACATGGAAGAAAGTTATCAAAATAGTTGATGATGAGATCAGGAAGAGCTCATGTGAAAAACGTTTCTCGAGTTTTAAATCATTTATAGTCAATAAGCTCTAAATAAAGTTAATTAAACATTGAATGACATTAAAATGTATTATGCCATACAACAAATTGAGAACCATAACTCTAATTTTACACATAGCATGAGATGAAAGTCAACAGCAACAACAAAATCAATTCTAAATCTATAAATAGAACATAACATCAAATAATGAAATGTCCTAAAAGAAGATTAATTGTCCCTTAATAAAGCTCTATACATATTGCCATTTAAAGAAACTGAGTGATTCACAGCTGTCAAAGGGTTAACTGTTATACTATATCAGACTGCTTTTTGTTGCTAAAAATAACTTTAAAATAAGTCGTATTGCTTTTAAGTTGACAACTTTATTTAACGCTTCAGCAGATTTCAATCCTTCCTTTCTTTAGTCACCAAAAGACTAATTTCTGTTTCGATGAGACTGTGCTTGCAAGCAAATAATAATTATTTTTATTATTACTTTTTAAGTCTTTTTATATTAGATCAGTGAGATCCAAATGAATTTTACATCTATTTTAAATTTTTAAATAATTTAGCAACATGAGCTGTGAAAGTCTTTATTAACTTTATTTGCGTTTTATGGACATAAGCTTGAAAATGCATCTGTTGAAGTTTGTTAGCATATCTTTATTAAGAGACTTCAGTTAAAACCAAATGATAAAAGCAGAGATGATATCGTATATAATTTTGACAAGCTACTCACAAAACTTATAAGCCACCATTATTAACCTTTCTCCTTTTCATAGTTTGTTTAATCAGAAAATACTGTGAAAATTATTTTATTTAAAATTTGCAATTGCTAATTTACCAGTCTTTTGCTTATGAAATTTCCATGTGTTTTTTAAAATCCCATAAAACTGCAATTCACCCATAAATATTCACTCATTCTTTAATTTTAACTTTTTTAAAATTCATAGCTTATAAAATAATTCCGTTCTTATATTAAGAATAAATTAATTCATTTTTGTCACTAAAAGCTCTTTGGTGCAAACAAAAAAATATTACAAATTCATAATGCAATATTTTTTTTTTTTGCAATGGTTAAATTTTTACAGAAATCTATGTTATCTACTATTTAACACAAAATAGAAATAGAAGCACATAAAAAACAAAACAATAAACTACTGAGTTCATGCCAGTACGCACTGTCAAAGTTGAGCCTAATTGTTGCATTGCTCTCTCCCAATGTGTTTTTGGCTGTCACTTTGTAGTTGCCTGCATCCTGAGCCGCAACATCATTGATCTCAAGAACAAGGAAGTATGTTTTGTTCTCCCTGGGTTCAGCACGAATATTGAAACGACCTGAAGAAAATTAAAAATAATACTTAATTTAGTGTTATTTCACTAGCATGTGAAATTAGTAATTAAACTAGGATAAACTTTTAACTGTAATAATTTGTAGCAATGTTATATATCTAAAACAACATTTCCTTTCACACACTAAAACAGCACTTTTGACCATGACAACTAGTCAAAACAGATCCAAAATTAAGTCAGTGTAATTCCCCATCATAAACACCATATCAAAGTTAAGTAGACTAACAACACTATTAACAACATTTTTTACCATTAAAGATAACAATAACACTGACTCTATACTTCTGACTGTCAATTTGAGACCAAGTTTAAGTATGTCTAAATTCTAAATACCTGAAGATTGGATGACTGCATTATCCTTATACCATGTGATTGCAGGGGCTGGGTCTGCTGTCAATGCACATTCAAACAACAGTTTTTTGCCATTGTTTTCTTGCCTTGTGACTGGTTTCTGTATAAAGTTTGGTGCGATTCCTTCTTGTCTAGAAAAAATTTGAATATTCATTTAATTTTCAACAAAATTCAAATCATCGGTGTTTCTAGTTAACATTAAAATTAAGAGTTTATTTTATGATTAAGGTTCTTCTCCCAAAGGGATTTGAAACTTTAATCTGACCTAAAGGCAATTTTTGTTCATGTAAGTAGGCCTATAACCTAAATAATCCTAGCTATACACCCACATTTATCAAGTCAAATTCATCTCCAGTAAGTGTTGTTTAAAAATAAAAACAACAATCCATCTACAGATAACAAATTAGACCTATTAGGAGAAAAAATAGATTAAAATTGTATTTGAACTATCTTTTATTTTATTTTCAAGAACTATAGTAACTTACTGTTTCTGTCCACCTGCTGCTGAAACAAAGTTTAGGAACACAATGAGAAAATGTAAAATTAATGTAAAATTAAAAGTGTACATAAAAAATAATTTATGATCCAAAATTAAGAAAACATTTTTATTTATTTATCTATAGAAATGAAAGAATAACCACAAAGAGAAGCAAAGTTTAGTTGATGAAAAAAATTGTTGGGTGTGGCCAATTTAGTTGACTTACATTTGAGTCAGACAATGACAAACATAAGAATCAGATAAAGAGGATAATCTTGACTTTAAAAAAAAAAAAAAAATTGGTAATAGTCTAAAACTATCGAACTAACCGCTAAAGTTCAAATTGATTGATGCTGACACTTCTCCAAGCCTGTTCTTTGCTACTACTTTGTATGTCCCTGCATCACTCTGTGCTACTCCCAGTATCTCCAGGATCACGTTGAATGCTGATCCACCAGCTGGCTCTGTCCTCATACGAGTTCTGTCTGTGTCTTGAAGAGGTGTTGTCCCCATAAACCAAGCGATATCTGGTTTGGGAGAAGCTTCCAGGACACAATGGAACACAAGTTTCTGGCCATTGTCTTCCTGTCTGAGTGCGGGCTTTTGAGTAAAACGGGGCGCAACATCATCACCCACCCCCATGTTGCTGATCAGTAAGGTCTAGCTCGAAGCTGAAAGGAAAGAATGTAATTATAATATAACATATCTTTTAAGGAGTTATGGACATACTATACTATGGAGCGAGGTGGGTGTATGTATGACTAATATATTGGTTGGATTGACAGTCAAAAAGTTTTTAAAGATATGAATTTGAGACGACATTAATCAGGACATAATTTTCCGTATTTGGAAGGAATTGTAAGTGAATGCACATAAACTTGTTAAAACCGGAAGTCACTTTTAAGTCTTAGACTTGTATTTGCAACTTGCAGTTAGATTTAGCCCGCCATTGATTCCGTTTAATTGTACACTTGTTATCGCCAGTTGATTATACAATAATCATCCAACCAAACGATATATCCTTTACATTTATACACACAAAATTGATGTAAAATTATTAAATTCATGAAACACAAGAGTCCTCGTTTTTAAATACTAACTAATTTATAATACAAAAAATTATAGCCTAATACTATATATAGAGTCTAGTCCTAGATTACTTAGGGGCCATCCAATAATCATTTCAACAATTTTTAGGCTATTTTGACACCCACCCTTGTCAAAAACTACCAAATTTTAAGTTTATTAAAATAAATTAATTATGTCACAAATTTTATCCCCCCCCCCCCCCAAAAAAAAAAAAAAAAAAAAAAAA